CAGCGCGGCGGAAAGGAAAGAACTGGCGGGATGTCCGTGCCTGCCCTTCTGGGCATGCTCACTGGGGCTCCTGAGCATGCTCAGTTGGGCCAGGCACGAAAATCCTTTTAAGAGAGCTTGCTAGGCACCGGCAGATCCAGCGCAGGCGCACTAGATCCCATTGGTGTGAAGCACAGAGACCACGAAGAAGATCCATCACTGTCTGGTTTCTTTTTACCAAAGGACCTCTTTCCCCCCTTCCTTTTAGGCAATCCCCTCCCTGTAAGCTATCCAGAGGAATCAGAAGAGACTGATATACTGAAGGAGCCTGGGCTGCCTCTCCTGGAAAGTTGAGATCCACACGGGCTTGCACTGGGAGAAAGTCCTCTCTGACTGGACCTGAGCTGTTTCTCTTCCCCCCCCAACTGACCCCTCTGCTGTACTTCAGACTCTACAGGTATAGCCTGTGGGAACCAGGCTGCCCTCCATGTATTCCGTGGCCAGTGCAAGTATGGGGGCTGACCAAACATAGTGGGGGGGAAAGGCACAGCCCCCATACTTGCACTGGCCACGGTAGCGGGTCCCGCCATGGTGGAAAAGGTTGGGGTGAAAGGCACCCCATAATAGGCTATTCCGCTGAACCGTCTTGAACCGGTGGGGAAGGATTAAAGGTGTTTGGTGGGGCTGCAGGAAACTCACCGACCATTGCTGCCATGGAACTTTCAGCCGCGTTCCTAATGGCCTGCCTCTCCTCCCCCTCCCTTTCTGGCTGCCAGGAGGCCTCCAAGGCCAACAGGGACGTTGGCGGCACTGATCTGCTTAAGCTTAGGTGATTCCCCGAGGCCCCGAGGGCACCCACCTGCTCTTCACCTCGTCCCAATGCCGAGACAGCGTCCCGCAGCAATTTCCCTTTGCCCGAGACCTTACGCAGGAATGGCTTGCCTTGATGAAGCTCCCATTTCCCTGAGGGTCCCGTGACCGGAACCCTTTTTGAAGACTTCAAGTCCATCTTTAACTTATCCTTGTCTTTTAA